GGGAAGAGAGAAGTGAGAATAAAAACTTACCGGGAAGAGAGATGTGACAATAAAAACTTACCGGGAAGAGAGAATTGAGAAAATCTGATTTTGATAAAGTTTGACCTTTAGCTGTCTCTAATGAGGAAACAAAATGATCTCTGGAATAAAAAAAATAAAAATTTTTATATTTCTAGCTCTCCTCAAAGAAGGAAAGATTCTGAATTTTGGCTATCATAGTTTGTAATAGTTTGACATTGTGAATATGAGGTGAAATACGAGGTAAAATACCTACTTGATATTTTCTACAGACTCTAAGAGTGCGTTGAAACCTGTCGTTTTAACTTTACCCAGCGTCAGTTCTTTATCACACTCTTTATTACACGTAGATAAATTAGTTTTTAACGAATCATAATGACTCCACCAGATATTCACAGCTAGATTAGAATTATACGATCTCACTTGATGAATCCTAAAATAATAATATACAGGAATAATAGGCTAATATCATATATTGTGGACTCCATTTGTTCTCCACGCGCAGGCATACAGCATCCGTTAGCGTGTATATACCATCTATATATGTACGTTAGTAACCAAGCGTAGACATAATCCAGCCAATGACTGTTAAGATATACCTTTTCTAAAAATACCCAGATGTCATTCTGGCTTTTTAAAACTTTGTACAGCATCCGTGAGCACAAAAAATCCCTGAATCTTCTGTAGACTGTAGCGTATAGGCAATATGGATTACTGATTTAGTACCTTGTTAACAATAGTAACTTCCCTTATTGTCAATTGGTGAATCCTTACATCTAATGTAATGTAAATAGCTACAAGTTTCTCAGATATGCATAATGGCGTTTTTATTGGGAGAGGAGCGCACTTTCAATTTTCTTATCATATTACATAGGGAAAGGTTTGGCCTTCTACACAACAATTTCTATAAACACCATTAGACATGAAAATCTTTGGCTAAAATCCTATTTTGAATAAATTCTATATCTTTCAGACGGACTACATCTATCAAGACAGCATCTCTGAATGAAGAGAAGATAAAAGAATGAGATAAGATGACCTACCATTTATAGGGTATATACAGACAGTCCCCTGATTCTAGATGGGCGTGTATATATTCTACCTCGGCTAGACCTGGATATTTTACATAATCCATACTGAAATATAATTATAATAAATAATAATAATACAGTTTCT